TACAGCACAGTGACACTGACTGACTGACTGACTGGACACTACAGCACGGTGACACTGACTGACTGGACACACACAGACAAAGTGCTGTGTGCTCACAGACAAACAAGCCTGTACTTACGTTCCTGGTTGCAGTTGGTACAGGTCTCGCAGTTGAACTTGATGTTGTAGTGTTTGTTGTAATGTCCGTCCTGACATTGAACACACTGGGTGTCAGCACCCTGTTGACACCTGCTCTTCATGAAATACCCTGCAGCGCCACGACATTTTTATTAGTTGGAAGAACAACAGGATTAGAAATTAAAAAAAGCATTCATAGCACTAATAGCACGAATATTAAATTGAACAGCAGTGGCATAAATCGGAGTAACTTTAGTAGCATTAACAGTAAGCAGTAACAATAATAGAATTATGACTAAATGTGATTATTATAATTCTAACCATTGCTAATTGTTATAATAATAGTAACAGCAGTATTGTGGTAGGACCAAGAGTTCATAACAGCAGTGATAAGTGATAACAGTTAATTGCATTTATACAGAACCATCTTGAAGGGTCCTAAAGTGGTTATGTAAAGGTGGGGTCCCAATTCACCCCCTGCCTGGGTGATACGGTACAGACAGCAGAGCAGAGGGAGGAGTGAGAGTAGTAGTACCTGCAGAATTTACAGCACCAGCAGCAAAGATACAGGTTCAAAGATTTAGCAATAACCGTGCAAACATGCTTGCTTCCTTGGATCAACTCCTCTCTTTTTGGTTTTGTTATTGATAGAGCGATTGGGAAGCAATGGAGTTTGTGGAACCCTGTCGTATTACCACAGTGCCCCAAACTCAGCAGAAATCCCCGCTCTCCTGCTGCTCTGCTGTGCCAGACATTCTGTGCAGAAGACTCCATTTGCGCTCTTCTGCCCCTCTTGCTCAGTGTTTTTTTCTGTTTTTACACAGAATATCCAATGGTGATCTTGCAGCGAAACTGCAGCCACCTGGCTTAAACTCAGCAGTTGTTGTTAGACGATGAGGGCGATGATGAATTATTTTATACAGCGCCTTTCAAGGTCTCAAAGCAGGGCAGAAAGCAGTAAAACAGATGAAAACCGGACAGTGACACGGAGAGGAGATAGCAGAATTAGCCAAAGGAAAAGCTTCGAGGGATCGGAAGAGTTCCAAGGAGCAGACAAAGACGAGCCTTTCTGGAAAATTCCGGATTTGAAAGCTGGCTCTCTGGTATCCTCAGGGCTAGAGCTCCAGAGCTCTGGGCCAAAGCAAAAGGCCCTGATACCCATAAAATATCAGCTGGCTTGGGGGACAAACAGGAGACCATAGTCAGACGAACAGAGGTTACAAGGAGGGGAGTAAGACGAAAGTAACTTGAGACAGGTACTGAGGTGCCAAGCTAAATACAGAGCCTTATAGGTGAGCAGGTGAGGTCACTGATGAGGAAGACCTGGCGGTTGGCTCCGATTCAGAAATGCGAGCCCTGAGCTCCTGCAATCCCACGTTGGGCTCACCATGTGCTGGCGTGATCGGCGTCTGGAAGGCTGCGATCGCTGGTGAGTTTAAACCCTGCCTAGATCCCGAGCTTGGTTTCTCCAAGGCTGAGATCAGCTCAGTTAATCAATAATTAATTATAATTGCTTACACTTATATCGCGCTTTTCTGGACACTCCACTCAAAGCTCTTTACAGGAAATGGGGACTCCCCTAAACCACCACCAGTGTGCAGCCCCACCTGGATGATGCGACGGCAGCCATAATGCGCCAGAACGCTCACCACACAGTAATGAAGCCAATTCATAGAGGGGGATTATTAGGAGGCCATGATTGGTAAGGACCAATGGGAAATTTGGCCAGGACGCCGGGGTTACACCCCTACTCTTCTCGAGAAACGCCCTGGGATTTTTTAATGACCACAGAGAGTCAGGACCTTGGTTTTACGTCTCATCTGAAGGACGGCGCCTGTTTACAGTATAGTGTCCCTGTCACTATACTGGGGCATTAAGACCCACACAGACCGCAGGGTGAGCACCCCCTACTGGCCCCACTAACACCTCTTCCAATGTCAATGTCAAAGCTCTTATAACCTTAAGACCACACTAATGGAGGCTGCGAGGAAATTGTTGAAGCTCACAGCAGATGATGGTGTCTAAGAGGTCCAAAACGTCAAACCCTACAGGATGATCTCTGTGCGCAACCTGGCATGAGAACACTGAGCTTGAACCTTTTCCCCTCTGGGCTTGGGTGTTGCCTGTTATGGATGTGTCAGTACTGCCTCCCGCTTTTAGTACAGCTGGGCTCAGTGTGATCATTATTAATAATTACCGTTCCTGTCAGTAATCCTGAGATGCTCCTGTGCAGACCCCAGTGTTCAAATGTCACAATTCTGTGTGAATCATCTAGGCCCTTTTCAATATCAAATTCAGTCAGAGTTTACTGACAGACAAACCTCAGGTTCGCGAAGTGACACACTCAGAGAGAGAAGCAGAAGCAGGGAGAATGGCAGACAGGAGAGGGACTGACAGAAGAGAAGCTGATGAAGACACTCGCAGACTGCACTGTATTGAGGGAGAGGACAGGGCAGAGGATCCCTCAGTAATAAACATACATAATGGGACAGGAGACACAGTGAAAGGAGATGACGGAGAATCCCTCAGTAATGAAACCCCCACAACAGGACACATTGAGAAGGAGGAGATCACAGAGGATCCTTCAGTAATAAACACACACAACAGGACAGGAGACACAGTGAGAGGAGATCACAGAGAATCCCTCAGTAATAAATACACACTACAGGACAGGAGACACAGTCAGAGAGAACAAGACAGAGCTAAGTTCAATATAACAGTTATTGAATTTTAATTACCTGGTTGGCACTTTCTGCAGCATTTTTTCTCGTTTTGTACATTCCAAAGATAGCTCGTCTGTTCATCACAACCGGGAGAGACAGGGAGGAGGGAGGAGAGGAGGAAGAAGGAGAGAGGGATGGGGACGAGTCTCTGAACAAATGTTTGCATCCTCTCCCACACCTGTAAAAAAAACTGGAGAGAGAAAAGGAGGTTAGTACACTAAAAACACTCTAGACACTGCAGGACATTAACAACGACAGACCAGATACAGCTCCTCTAGGCTGATTAGGTAGCAGGCAATTGATCCAAGACTCTCGTCTAGCTGTTTCCTGAAGGAAGGCACAGTATCATCTTCAACAGTGTGAGTGGGTAGCTTGTTCCACTCTCCCACACCCCTTTGAGTAAAAAAACGTATCTCCTGTTCTTCTTTCACACTAACATTGACTGGACAGTAGAGCATAGAAACCGACTAACTGGACACTGTGTGGACAGGCCTCACACTTGATTAACTGCAAGCACAGTAGAACACAGAGAGGATCTACCTCTGTATGCCTAACAAGGATTTTGTGATGCCGTTTCACAAAAATCAACAACTCTGTCACCGGAAAGTCATAAGTCCTCCTAAATTGCAACATCCAAAAAGCATTTTCTCAATCTGAAACTCGCCCCCTGGCTCGAGGAATCTATCCTGAGCTGGCCAATTCGTTTTCTTCGAACCCAGGACTGGAAAACAAATGATTGAGAGCAGGGAGAAATGAGATCTTGTCAGTGGCCTGTGGGAGTGTAGCCAAGACAGACCAGTGAAAGAGGTGTACAGACAGAGCAGGGCGAGAGAGATGGACAGAGAGACGAGAGGGAGACCGACCTGAAAGTGAGATGGACAGACCCCGAACACAATGTGAAGAGAGAGGCAGGACAGAGATACAGAGACATAGAGAGAGAGCTGCAGAGAGTTCTACTCAGGCCAAGTCACTGAGAGAGAGAGTGAGATGGGAGACCCACATACACCAAGAGACAGGTGCAAGCACAGATACATTCAGAGAGACCTCAGAGAGGCAAAGATGACCACGCTTGGAGGAGACAGAGGAGGATGGCTGGACAGGCGCAGGGACACCTGCCTTTCCTTACCTTTGACAGAGAGAGACACACAGAGGAGTCTGTGTTGCCCAGAGCGTGTGACAGAAGTGACACCGGGTTGTGCTGACACTCCAAAGACTGTCAGGCTGATCACTAAGGCAGTGAGTCATCTGAAAACTCAACTTTTTAACTGTCAAATTCAGAACAAGACCACCCAAAATCTGAAGCTCTCTTTCTCTCTCAGTACCTCTCCCGCGTCTCTCTCTCAATCTGCGTCCCCCTGCCACCCCCTCTCTCTTTCACGTAGGGTCTGATGTAAACTGATGATAATGGGCTGGGGAAGCATATCTGAAGTCATTCAAAAAAAAAATTGTGAGCTTTAAATTAAACCCCTGGTCCCTCCTCTCTCTCCTCAGATCAGACTCAATGGGTGCGTCTTCTTGGCACAGCTATGCGAGACAAATGTGAGCACAGCTTTGTGAGTAAATGACAAAAAATATCAAAGATCAATGTGATCCCCATAAAGCTGTTAACCCTTTCCTCCCTCAATATTCAAAGAGTGTTATTGTGTGTGACTAAAGGAAATTACCGTCAGTGAACGTGTGAAGGATATTCAGGGCAATGAGTAATTAATTCAAATTCAAGCAGCTATATTGGCATGGTCAATCAATTACTGTGTTACCAGAGAGGAAACAATTAATAGCTTGTACAGACATTTGCAGTAAAACCAACTATTTACAGATATTTACATTTGAGAGGCTCCACTGTCTGTTCCTCAGGCTG